AAAACTAGAATGAATCTTCTGCTAGAACATGGAACCGTACGCCGCCATATGTTTTGTCTTTTGTGCAAGTGGTGACGAGTGAAGCAAGGCCCTTAGGGCCACTTTTGGTAGGAAAAGGAAACAAAAGAAAGAGAGGAATGAATCTTCTGCTAGAACATGGAACACATACGCCGCATATGTTTTGTCTTTTGTGCTGGTGACGAGTGGAGCAAGGCCCTTAGGGCCACTGCTTGTAGGAAAAAGAAACGAAAGAAAGAGAGAGCTACGGTAGTAAGTAGTTGTAACTTGTAACCCATAACTGCTCGAAAGCAGACCTGACTTCGGATCCAGAACATATATTGCTGGCCTGCTCTTCTTTTACACGAAATTTGCTGAACATCTCTTGAGATGTTGGGACCCTTGCATATGTACTCCGCGAAAAAGACTTATTCAACAAGGAATACGTGGGCCCTATTTTTTTTTCTGTGGGGAGGTGCACCATTGGCTACCTCAGCCAGCCTTCTCCATTTTTTTTTTTTTTTAATCCTATTTAGTGTGGTGCGTCGCATCATGTGCACGTGCATGCTTACACGTGCGTTATGCGCCGTGCGTGCAGAGCTCGCGCGCACGCGATGCGACGCAGGTATGGGTTGGAGTATAGGCGGAGTGTAGGGGTGATATAGGGAATATTGGGGCATTAATAAGGATGCTGGATGTGGTTCGGGAGTGTTAGGTTGGTGTATGCGGGTATTGGTGGCCGCTATGGGGGTGTGGGTGGGGGGGTTATTAGGGGTTCTGGATCCCCCCCCCCCCAAAAAAAAAGGTGCGGGGTGCCGACGATCCCCGACTGCTAGGTGCCGACCAGCCGATCGGTCGGCGGGTCGGCAGCCGACCAGTCAATGGCCGCCGACCGTCGGGGTGTGCAACACTGCTGGCGAGCGCATTCCCAAACTTATCTGCGTCAGTTTCCCTAGCCTTTGGAAAGAGGTACAGCAGCCATGAAAAGTGGAACTGACTGCACTTTTGATTCATTGCTGTATTTTTTTTTTCACGCTTCATTTTCAGTTTATTGCCTTTTTTTTTGTCACCTTTTCGATTCTTTTGTTGCCTTGCCGTTTTCGGTTTGTTGCTTTTTTTGTTTGGCTACCTGGGTCGCTTGTCCACGTCGCCCAGCCAGCTCTTTGCGCAGGCTATCCTTTGCAGGCTAAAATAACTTTAAATAAGCCTTTTTTTTTTTCCCTTTTTTCCTTTTTGGTTGGTGGATCTGGTGGGCCATCTCTGCACCCACCTATGCATCCTTTACTCAAGCCTCCATCATTCGTTTTGAAGTTTGCCCACCATGAAGTGCATATCCGTCGTTCACCCATCATTCGTGTTGAAGCTTCCCCGCCATACACCCATCTAGCACTCCCATCTCCTACCATCCCGTCAATGAAAAAAAAGGACTGTGTGTCGCCATGTGGCACACTTTGTGTTTGGTGGAGCCTGCATTATGAATGAGTGGCTGGATGGTTACTGGCGTGGTTTGATTCATCAGGAATGAATGGTTAGTCTGTAATAATCCTTCAGAATGGGTGCAGATTCGACACGGCCCATGAGAATTGACGAATGGGATTTATGATCGTGCTGAAAAGTGAGCAAACAGGTAGTCGATTTCAAGTTTGCCAGGGATCAGACGAGTGTGTGATCAGACGAGTGTTTCAAACATCAAGCTGTGGATCAAGGCCACATGTCTTTGATCCCTTCCAATCGCATTCCCACCGATGTGGCAATCACATCCATCACGTGTCAGTGATCCAATCCTACGCTAAGAAATTGAGAATGACTTAAAAAAAAAAAAAAAAAAAGAAGGGAAAAGAGAAGGGGAAAAGTTCCGGAAAACTGAGCATACATGTCACTCTCTGCAGCATGACCTGGGGGGGGCGTAGACATTGGTTGATCGATGATTGTGATTGCTCGCCAATGTTGATTGCTAATCTTGGTCAATGAACCATGCTGATCAATGGTGGCGATCAATTGCAGTCATTGATCAATCATGAGGATCATGGTTGATCGATGGCTTAGTGTGAGTATGCCCTCCCACTACTCTCCTTATTCTTCTCCATGCAGATGACTTTTCGTCACTTTCACTATACAGGAGCGCACAAACATGCACAACCATTGCTCCTTTTCCTCCTCTTTCCCTCCATCGCCCTCTCCTCCCTCTCTCCTCCTCTTCCTCCCTTCTCTCCCATAACATATCAATACTGATGCTCATATACTTACTGCTTGTATGGTATCTACGCCCCCCTTCCTCCTCTTCCTCTCCCTCCTACTCCTCCGCCCTTCTGCGTACTCCTCTTCCTCCTCTCCTCTTCCTCCTCTCCTCTTCCTCCTCTCCTCTTCCTCCTCCTAATCCAACTCCTAATCTTACTCCTCCAGCTTCTTAAAACTGCTGAGGCTGATCTTGCTCGTCTCCCATCACAGATCGATGGCTCCTCTTCTCCCATCATAGACTGCATCTTTATTGACACTAACGGAACCAGACTGCTGTTGGAACCAACTCCTCCTCCTCCTCCTCCTCCTTGCCAGTCTTGGATAAATCCACTGTCCAATGACCAGTCCACCAATGGCCTACAACACTTCGCCTCCTATGACCAGTGAGCCACGTTGTACCTTGATCCAAACGTCCAGCTGCAGATTTATCCGCCACGTGGCAGTACAACACTTCGCCTCCTATGACATGGAACTGCCCCCGCCTTAGACACACCAACTCGATATCTTCTTCAAATGGGCTCTTTCTGTCTCTTGACCAACATGGGAGGCAGTGAAGGAAGAGAGAGAGAGAGAGAGAGAGAGAGAGAGAGAGAGAGAGAGAGAGAGAGAGAGGAGTGTGGGGGGGGAGGTGAGAGGTGGCGTTGGTGGGGACAAGGCTGACGGGGCGATAGAGAAGTCCTCTGAGCGCTCTTTATTTCTCATGACAGCAACAACTATTGGTGCGTGGAATTTTTCAGGAGACACGGGGTCTCAAGGCCTGGAAGTGAATTGCGCAGAGGACGCCCAGCAGTCGGACTGGGCAGCCTGCACGGCCGGGGAGCTGGGCAGTTTTCTGGGCGGATTTGGGCGGACCGTGCGCCCAAACAAACAGCCTAGCTTTGTCACCTTTTCGTATTATTTGTCCCCTTTTACCTTTTTGTTGTCTTGTTGTTTTCTATTTGTTGCTTTGTCACAAGTCCTGTCCCCAATCAAAACGAGCACTGGCCAAGCCTTTACCGCGTACCACGTAACTTCAGGAGGTCCATAAAACATAAGTGGCCAGAGCACTGGTGGCTTGCCTCTCTCTCTCTCTCTCTCTCTCTCTCTCTCTCTCTCTCTCTCTCTCTCTCT